GTCGAAAGTGCAATAATTTGAAAAGGCATACTTTTAATCTACATTTGGGTTTGGCTTTGACTCCTTTTCAAGGCCAACATCCAATTTTCTGGGCAATACACACTTTCCAGGTGTAGGGGGGTCTCATGGACTAAAGCCACACCCCACTTGAGGCTTTGTCCACCTCCTTCGGGGTTATCTATGGATATAAAATGTGGTGGACCATGACCTCACTGCTTGAACAGAGCCCAAGTTCCCTGACCCCCAAATAACCAACAGGGCCTGAAAGCACAATGGCGGTTCATCACCTGGGCCAAGGCAGGCCAATCCCAGCAGGGCGGGGTTCCCTGATTTAAGTCCTAGGTTAACCGTCCCAGCTTCCACCAAGAGCAAAGGTAAACATGGAGGCCCCACAAGTGCTTGGCTGAACACCGCCTCTTCAATCTGGTGCCCTCCTTGGGGAAAGTTATACTACCATGATTCCATTGCTATTTCATTTACATCTGCATTAGGAAAAAACAAAACATGGTGGACAGTTGGCTCTGCGTACTAACACTGATACTTACTCTTGATGAAGGTATCTGAGTTGTAGCCCATTTCCAGCCATTTGCAAAGTTTCAGGAAGATTGAGAGAGACTGAAGCAAACAGCCTGCCGCTTTTCACCCGCACCTAAAGTTCTTAGAAATGTTACAGAAATCTCAATATTTCCATGTAGACTGTGGCCATTATTTTTGAGACTATTTTGACTGTGGTTCATAGCTAGTCACGGAAGAGCTAAGAGCTAAGCGTTAAGGGTGCTGGCTGCTCTTCGGAGGACCAGGATTTTGGTTTGTGACACTCTCGTCAGGCTTCACAAGTCTGTAACTCCAGCTCCGGGGGTTCCAGCGCCCTCTTCTGGCCTCTGTGAGCACTACATGCACATGGTGCACAAAACATCTTAGCTCAATGAATTGGTGACAACAGAAAAAAATAGAGCCTGGATGATGAGTATAGACATATATGAACAAAAATGACCAAAATGTGCTTATATCTTAGCAATACTCACAATAACTTTGAATAGTATTCCGCTTCCCATCAGACTTCATTAACAGAAGTTTATGAAGCTCTAGGTAAGTCATTCTGGAGATCACACCAACAACTAAGACATCTTTCATTTTTAATTACATTTTTTTTATTTTTGGTGCATGCACCATGGGCAAGCATGTGGAGGTCAGAGGAAAACTCTTGGGATTGAGTCCTCTCCTTCTCTGACTAGGGTCCCAGAGACTGAACTCAGGTCATCAGGCTTGGTGACAAGCACCTTTACCCACCCACCCGTCTTGACAGTCCATCCTTGGGTCTTTAAACACATGCTTTCCCTAGCTTACCGTGGGCACAATGGTTTTACTCATGGTTCTCCCGAGAATGAGAAAATCCATTAGAATCTTCCTCACATGGTTGCTGCCCATGCCAGTAAATCATAGAGACATGAAGGGGGACATGAAAAAGACACCATAAGCATGTAGGGGAGCGGGTGGTCAGAACAGTCTTAAAATGAGTGACTCCTAAAATGTGGGCTAAGTGGTGCTCAGTTCCTGTTTTCCTTTGTCAGTGATCAAACCAGACAGTGAAGGGTAAGCACAAGTTTTAAGCAGGAAGGTGACGTCCCAGGAGGGAAAGACTTGGGGGACCTGAACTCTACCTAGATGTATACAGAAGTCACTGGGCATTTTAATGGGAGAATTGGAGGTTGTTGAGAAAGCTCAGCTGGTAAAAGCACTCACTACCAAGCCTGACTACTTGAGTGAGTTCAGTCCTGGGAACCCACATTGTGGAAGGAGAGAACCAATTCCCACAACTTGTCCTCTGACCTTCACGTGTGCCACAGTGTATACGCATTCGATTTAGCACACACACATGCACACAAAATGTAATTAAGGGAAAATATGGGAGTGGAATGGGGAAGGACTTCACAGTGACAGAATAGAGGAAGGTCCCCTTGGGAGTCCCCTGGGCTTGTTCACCGACATTTAGAGATAGACTCCTACCTTTCCATGAAGCCTGGGCGAACCAGCCATGGTGGTTAATGTCCCAGCAGGATTCAACAAAGTGATGCCTAGTGACTTGGTAACATACTATTTCTGGGAGTCTCCATGACAGTGCACTAAAGAAATTATCAATGGCTAAAGAAGAACCCTGCTCACCAATGTGGATGTCCACGTTGGAGCAAGGGACAGCAGGCAGGAGATCGTGAGCAAAAAGCTCAATCCTAAACTAATACTGGCACTCCCAAGGCTGAGGCAGAAGCTGAGTTTCAGTCCAGCCTGGTTATCCTGTCTCATAAAAAATCAACATGAAGCTGAAATCAGCCTCCCTGTTCAGTGGCTGGATTAGTTAATTTTCAGTTCCTGTGATAAAGTATCATTGTTGTACCCAGAGTCCCCCAAAGACCACCAAGAGACCAAATCCAATGCAAAAGCAAAGAGTCTTTTTATTGTTTTGAGTTAACTCGGGCCTTTCTGTCTGTCTGACAAAGCTGTGACAATATCATGACCAAAAGCAACTTGAGGAGGAAAAGATTTCAGCTTGCGTCTGGAAGAGAAATCAGGGCAGAGACCCGGAGGCAGGAACTGAAGCAGAAGCCATGAGTGAACACTGCTCACTAGATTCCTCGGCCTGCTTTCTTATGGCACCCCGGACCACCTGCTCAGGCATGGCACCACCCACTGGGCCCTCCCACATACATCAATGAAAATCCTCTACAACAACAGTTCTCAACACGTGGGTCTTGACCCCTCTGTGGTCACTTATCACATGTCCTACATGTCAGATATACTTACATTACAATTCATAACCATAGCAAAATTACAGTTATGAAGTAGCAACAAAATAATCTTATGGTCGGGGGTCACCACAATGTGAGGAACTGCAGTAAAGGGTTGCAGTGTTAGGAAGGTTGAGAACCACTGCTCTACATTCTCTACAGTCTGACAGGCAATCTGAGGAAAGCAGTTCCTCATCTGGGTCCCTCTTCCCATAACAACTCTAGCTGTGTCAAGTTGACAACTTGACACAAAACAACAAACCCAGACAGAGGAGGAGAGACAACTGGAGGGTGTAGAGGGGGCAGCCACTTGGGGTTCATCAGTTTGTCTTCCCATGTGCTCTCCAAAAATGTCAGCCAAGAAACATTTTACGTTTCCCAGCTACAGGTGTTTGGTTGTGACAATAGGAAATGAACTAATGCAGAAGTAAAGAAAGACAAGAAAATGATAGTATGATTCCATTTATTTTAAATTCCAGAACAGGTAAAAGTTCATCATGTAGATGTGCCCAAGAGGACAAAAGAAAAGGAAAGTTCTCAACTCAATGGTATCAGTAATGCTCCACACTTTAAACGGACTGACTTCAAATTAAGTCCAAAAATGAGAGAGGGGAAATCAGAACAAAAACTCATAGGTCAGTGGCTACCTATAGTGCAATCATCTGTGTGGATCAAGTTCTAAAATATCCAGAGGAATTTTAGTGGCAAAAGACTCTGATCTCTTGATGGCACTGCTTTATACTTGTACAAAGTACTGATTGTACACTTTAACCAATGTTCACCATGTTGCACCCTTCAAACAAGAAAGCTTGAGGCTGGAGAGATGGTTTAGCAATCAAGAGGACCTGCTACTCCATCATAAGAACAGGAGTGCTGATTCCAGCCCCTGTGTGGGGCAGTTCACAAGTGCCTTAACTGCAGCTCCAAGGTACCCAGTGCCCTATTCTAGCCTCTGCAGGTACACACACACACACACACACACACACACACACACACACACACACACACACGAAGACAGACACATTTTTTTTAATGAGACATGGTTTCCCTGTGTAGCCCTAGCTGTCCTGGAACTCACTCTGTAGACCAGGCTGGCCTCAAACTCGGGTATCTGCCTGCCTTTGGCTCCCTAGTGCTGGGATTGAAGGCATGGACCACCTTCTGGTGTGCAGACATATATTCAAACAAAACACCCATATACATAAAATACATAGATAAATCCTTAAAAAAACAAAACAAACAAACAAACAAAAAAACATAGCTGGGCAGTGGTGGCTCATGCCTTTAACCCAGCACTCAGGAGGCAGAGGGTTATAAATGCCAGCCTCTCTCCAAAGTCCAGCTCAGGAGCCACCTGTGCTTGTGACATATCCTTGCTACTCCACAGACAGACTAACCACGGCTGTGCTCTTGACTGTGAACCCTAAACACTAGGTGTTCTTTAGCTGTGTCTGAGGACCTTGTCTCTCTGAAACACGAATAACTGTGACAGCCCTTATGGACAATGATCTCCTCCTTCTGAGGAGGCATTCCAATGTAAAAGGGTATGCCCACCACTCAGCCAGTATGGTAGGTTGAGTGTCCCCCCAGAAATGCGGGAGTCCAAACCCCACACACCTGTGACTAGGATCATTTGGAGAAAGGGGTCTTTGCAGATGCAATCAAGTTACAAAAGGGTGGAGTCAGCCTGTGTTAAAGTGGGCTCTGACATGGGTAAGTGTGCCTAAGAGAAAGATTTTAAAGAGAAACACAGAGAGGCTCTGGCCAGACTGTGACAGGGGGAGCATGCTCCTGCCCGCCAAGGAGGGCTAGACGCCACCACACACTGGGAGGGAGGCCTGGAGTAGATTTCCCAAGGCTTCCCAGAGAAGCCAACCCTGCCAACACTTCAGTTCAATTTCTGGTCTCCAGAGGAGGGAAGAGTCCTTCATGGCTTTTAGGCCAGAGCACTTAACCTTAAGTCCCAGTCTCCCTGGAGCAGAATCCTGAATGCCACATAGATCCCACCAACAGATCCCTGCTTGGGTCTGGGGGACAGTGTGACTCTGTGTTTCTCTTGGGGCTTCCAGCCTCACAGCACTGGACAGACTGCATTTTCTCAGCACCCTTGGAACAAGCGGAGCAGCACCCCAGTCCCTGGGCTCTGCTCTCCCTTCTGCCCGAAGTCTCGGAGTGGAAGAACCTCAGGTAGCCGAGAGCTGGTTCCCGTGGTCTAGCTTTATCTCCTGTGTTCCCAAGTGTCCATTAGCACCCCGCTTCTTTTCTCTGTCAATACTGTCCTCGCTGGACTCTGACCAAAGCCTTAGCAATCTTCAGATCTTTGCCTTTGTGTGGCTGGAAACTAGTCTGTCATAGTGAGGGAGGGAGGGAGGAGAGAGAGAGAGAGAGAGAGAGAGAGAGAGAGAGAGAGAGAGAGAGAGAGATTGATTTAAGGTAGAAAGAGATTGGAGGAGTGGGAAAAGAGAGAGAAGGGAGAAGGCTGGAGAGATGCTTCTAGGACCAAGAACCCTGGCTGCTCTTGCAAAACTCAAAACCTGAGTTTTGTTCCTCATCTGTCAGCTCCCAACTGTTATAACTACAGTTCCAGGACACACACACACACACACACACACACACACACACACACACACACACACACCATTAAAAATAAAAATCATTTAACAGGAAGAAAGAGAAGGGAGAAGGTGGGGAGGAGGGAGAGGAAGGCAGGGAGGAAGGAAAAAGAAAGATGAACAAGATGGAGGAAGAGTGAGGAAGAGGAGGGTAAGATCCAGTTATCACACAGCCAGAGCACAACCCACCACTGAGCTGGGCATTCCACACATGCCTCTAAGAACACGACAAAAACAGCCCTGCTGTGCTTATTGTATAGTCTTCCTCGCTGAGGGAGGCCAGCCATAACAAAGTACCTCAGCACAGGAGAGTCACGCGATTCTCACTCGGCAGGAACCACTTTCTAAGTCCCAGAAGCTAGACATCGGAGATGCTGCTGGTCTCCTTAGCTAGTGAGTGGCACCTCTCTGAGTCCCCACAGGGTATGTATGTGTCCTGATCTCCCCCTCTTTTAAGAACACCAGCTTTATGGGGCTAAGGTACATCAATGTCTTTCTTTAACCTTACCCTCTTTCAATGCCTCATCTCCAAACTACAACACCTTCAGAAATCCTGGGCTGGGTGTGGTGTCAGCATTCAGCACAGAAATTTGGCAAAGGCAGCATATCTAACCCCTGGTATCTTGCCTTATTTCTACACAGGAATGCAATAAATAGTACCAGGAGCCAGGGTGGACAAGAAGGCAGGAGCCTCTCTTTCCTAGGGATGTCTCGGGAATCCCCAGGGAGATCAAGGACCTCCAGAGGATTCTGTGTCTTCTTCTGCCTCTCTGACCACTGAGCAGATGGTTAGGGGTCTGGGGTCATGGGTCCAGAGGCAGAAGAATGGCTGTAAGGGACCAGAAAAAGACAGCCCAGAGAACACATAGATCTGGGAGCCGTCGGCTGCATTGTGAAAGGAGATTTCTCCTGCCTCAAAGTCTAAGAAGATACCCACACGCCAGAGGGGTTGCGGAGGAGACAGGCGGGTCCTGGGGTAGGAGAGGGCCTGGAGTTTCTTCTTGTAAAACTCCAGTGCCCAGAGGCCATGCTGAGGTGACTTGGGGATCCTTCCTTCCCGTCCCAAACTTTCCAGACACACACCCAGAATCCAGGCCCGCCTGCCCCCGACCTCTACTTCCCAGTAATGTCTCCCTGCATCAAACCGCTCTTGGGCCAGGATGCAGGGGTCTTGGTCAAATCTTTTGGAACTGGGAGACAAGTCCTGGTCAAATAACAACCGCTTCACACTTTTCCGGTCTTCAGACACCATGAGTTTGGGGCTCCCGGTTTCAGGGTCCAGGGACAGGCTGGCTGTGGAGACAGAAAAAGTATCAGACGTGGGGGCTTTTGCTGTCTTGGCCCTGCATGGATGAGGGAGCCAAGGTTTGTCTCCTACATGAAGGTTTCCCTTCTACTTCTAGAGATCTGTTACTGTCCCCATTGTCCCCATTTAAACTGTTTTTTGTTATTCCTCCAAGCAGCGAGAGAGGGAGGAACACAAGATTCTTGAGGAGGTGTGAGCACAGCCCGAGATGGCTCCCACTGTGTACTAAACTCAGCTCAGAGGCCCAGGCTCTGTGTGGAAGAGACAGAGACAGAGAAACTGACACAGACACAGAGCCCACCTCCAGCAGACAGAAGACTTGAAATTTCCCACCCACACCCCATAGCCAGTACTCCAGATGCGGGCTTTTCTGTGGGCTGCGTGTGATTGGCACGTATCCTCAAGGTTTGCTGGTTAGAAGCCTGGCCCTCAGTGTGAACAGTGGGAGGTGGGGGAGCTCTTAAGAGGTGGCGCCTCCTCTGAGGTAATGACCTCATGGGAACATCTTTAGTTCTCTGGGGACCCTGGCTGGTTCCCATGTGACCTTGATCCCCAAATCTTTTGCTTATTCTGTCTTGCTATCTACCATAATTTGACACAGCCCTCACCACATGGACCACCTGATCTTGGACATTTAGACACCCAAATGAGAGCTAAATAAACATTCCTTTACACATGACCGAGCCTCAGGCATTTTGTTTCAGTAGTAGAAAAATGACAAGCCCAAGCTTCCAGCTCCTGTCTATTCATTTCCCTGAAAGAGGCCCTGTAGACTGCCCAGAGTTATCTTGTGAAGAATAACTGAGCAAGGAATCTCTCAGTGATGAAGGGTTTCCTCTGGGTGGGTTGTGGTTGGGAAATTCCAGAGCCAAAATCCCCACTGGTCATTCCATTCCTGCTGTGTTGGATGATACAAGCCTCGGGCCAGAGTTTGACATCCAGGTCCCTGGTGTGAGGGTCAGGGCTCACTCACCGTGGGAGGGCTCAGCCTCAGCACTGGTTCCTGTTTCCGCTTCTTCTTCCTCACTTTTATCCTCTTTGTGCGACCTCCCAAAGGCACAGGCAATTGCTGCTGTGACAAGCCCCAGTGCCGTGAGGATCAGAGGCAGAGCTGGTCCCCTCTCCGTGGACGGAGGCCTTCTGAACAGGGCAGCTAAGAGGATTCCAGGGCATCAAGAATAACAGGACTGTCTTTGCTACACACACACACACACACACACACACACACACACACACACACACACACACACTACAACATTCCAGACTCAAGGGACACAGTATTCACAGACCTTTCTAAAAAAGGTTCAGAAAAAAATGAGATCTCTTCTGATACACAGTGCTATAGCCTGCCTGTTGGTGTCCCCCAAAACATTGAAATCCCAGCCTCTTAGAGGATGGTGCAGGTAGGCTGTGGGAGGTAGGGAAGTCCTAAGGGTGGGGCTTCATTACCAGGATCAATGCCCTTATAAAAAGTACCTCAGAGAGGTCCTGGCCCTTCCCCCACACAAAGACATTGCAAGAAGATCTTTGTACTATGGAACAGCCCTCACCAGACACAGAACCTGCCTACCCTGACCATGGGCTTCCATTGTCTGTCTGGGACTGCTAACAACACACACCTGTCCATGGCCCAGGAGCCCAGGACAAAGTATGGTATGAGTCGAGGGAGAGTGGACTGAGGAGGTTGCATATGCATGGCCATATGGGTAAGATATAGATATTAGATATGCTATTTGTAGAAAAAGAAAACCAAGTCAATTAAAATGTAGCAAAAGATTCAAAATGTGAATCTGGGCAAGTGGTGCAGAGACTTACTATTTTTGCAAACCATGTAATTTTGCAGAATTAAACTGTAAGTTTAACATCATTTAGAAATAAAACTTCTGTCAGGCATGGTAGCAAATGCCTTTAATTCTAGCACTTAGGAGGCAGAGGCAGGCAGATCTCTGTGAGTTCAAGATCGGCTTGGCCTATATTGTGAGTTCCAGGACAGCCAGGATTACATAGTGATATCCTTTTTCAAAAAGTCAAAAAACACGTTTTTAAAGAAACAAAACTTTAAATGAAAAGCTAAACATATCCTTTAGTAGATAAATAGATAAATTAACTGTTCTAACCAGTAGAATAGTTACTCAGCCCTCAAAATAAATGATTTATTAAGTGTGGTAGTGTGAAAGAGAATGACTCCAGTAGGATCCTGCATTTGAATGCTTGGTCCCTAGTTAGTGGAACTGATCGAGAAGGATTGGGAGATGTGGCCTTTTTTGGAGGAGGTGTGTCGCTGGGGATGGGCTGAGGTTTTCAAAAGCCCACACGAGGCCCAGTGTCTCTCTCTCAGCCTGCAACTTCAGGATCAGATGTGAGCTCTCAGCTGCTTCTCCAGCACCACGTCTGCCTGCCTGCCACCATGGTGCCTGCCATGTTGACAAAGGACTCACCCTCTGAAATGGTAAACAATTAAATGCCTTTTTTTTTTCTGTAAGATGTCTTGGTCATGGTATCTCCTTACAGCAATAGAACAGTAGCTAAGAGATCAGGCAAAGGACAATCACAGAAAACGCTTAAATGCGCATCACTAACGGAAAGAAGCCAGCCTGAGAAGCACGCATTTGGTGTGATTTCAACTATGAAACACTGGAGAAAGGCAAAACCATTCAAAGAAGAAGAAAGGCCAGGGGTCTCCAGGTGCAGGTGGAAGAAAGGGTGTGACTAGGGAGGGTAGGGGACTCGGGGGCGGCATGCAGTACAGGTGGACAGACGCCATTCTCCTATGTCCACATCCCAGAACAGCCAGTACCACGGAGTCCCACATTCTTGCTCACCCTGGTGGGTCTCTGCCTGTTCATCCCTGTGACATTCCCTTTCTGGATTTTTATACATGGGAGAGTTATGGCTATGAGATGAACTATGTAGAAAATCCAGGGGCTGGGGAGACATTTCAGTGGTTAAGAGCGTGGCTGCCCTTCCAGAGGACCCAGGTCCCATTTTCAGTACCCACGTGGTGGCTCACAATCTTCTGTAACTCCAGTTCCAAGGGAACTGCACACACACAGTACACTTACACACACTCAGTGAAACACTCATACACATAAGATAAGAGAAATAGCTTTTTTTTAAAGAAAAGATAATCTATGCGCTTTTTTGATTAAATTTGCCATGAACTAAAACTTCTCTTTAAAAAAAATTTATTAAAACAACAACAACAACAACCAGTATCAGGATGTAACTTTCTTGCTTCCCTGGTAGATCTCCCTGCAACTCTATCACTGTTTCATCTTGGAAACCGACATCCCCGTGACCCCCTTGGGCAGGCTGCAGGCAGGGTCTTCCCTGGCTCTGCCCCCACAGCTTTCTCCAAACATCCCTGGTGCTCAGGGCCTGGACTCCTATGCTAGTGGCTTTGATGGCAGAACTGAACAGGTACTCACCAGGCAGGTAAGTCTCAGCCACCTTCTTCTCGGGGAGGAGGGGGTTGGAGATGGAGCAAGTCAGGCCCTCCACAGCCCTGTCCTGGGGAGTCACAGTGGACACCACGGCGAAGAGGCCGGTGCTGGCTGAGGCTGAGAAGTGAGTCTCAGCCGGCACTGGCTCTCCTCTGAGGTCCAGCCACTCCACCTTAGGCTCTGGGAACCAGCCTGATGAGGTACACTCTGCCCGAATGCTTTTGTCCTGGGTGCCAGTCACATGGATTCTGGGTGATGAGCCCAGCCCTGAAGGAAGAGACATCAGCTCAGATCCTGTAACTACAGTTGCTTCCATGAGGGGGCGGGCGTCTTGCAGGTGTTCAGTGGGTTCTGTGACTCTCTCTCTATATCACCCATCTGTGCTGTTACATCACTCATACAGCATTGTGATTCCTAATAAAACAGTCAAGCGAAGCAGGGGAGGGTTAATGGGAAAAACAAAGTTTCCCACTAAGTGTGGGAAAAGGAAGGAGTTGGGGTCTGTGTGACCACAAAGAACAAAGGAAACTTCTCCATGTCCCCAAATAATCTCAGTCTCTTTTTCTGTTTCATCCCCATCTGTTCCAGCCTCTCCCTCCCTGTCTCTCTTCCTGTGTCTCTTTGTTATTTCTCTCTGCGTTCCTGTCTTCCCTCTGTTTTTCTTTGACATTATTTTTCAATCTGTTTCTTGCTCGCTCCGTCTTCCTGTCTCTCTGACTCTCCATCTCAGGCTCTATCTTTCCACATCCCAGCTGTTGCCATGCCTCAACGCCCCCCAGAACCCCCACTCTGTGTGCTCTCTTTCTGGTAGTGTGATGAAGGGAAGGCAGATGGGAAACAGCCCTCTGTTCAGAACTACATCCTGGGGACACGGTGCACAGAGCCTGTGGGAAGAGAGTTTTGCCTTGAAGTAGCTGTCGCCAAAGCTTCTCCAGCTCTAGAACTCGGGGCTCTGGAAGCCACGGTCTGGAATTGGGGCTGGTGCTGACAGAAGCCCCCAAGCGAAAGGAAAGACCCCCACATCAGCCCTCACCTGCCACCTTCAACCACAGGGTGGCCTGGCTGTGGGACGTGTGCTCCTTGAAGACGCAGTGATAAGTCCCGTTATCAGACACGGTGACGTTGCGTATCCTCACAGCGACCTCTCCTCTGACCATGTGGCTGCCGACGAACGTCGTCCTTCCCCTGTAGTCCTCCATCTGCTCTTCATACACATCCTCCCCATCCTTGTGCACATGCACAGCTGGAGAGGGCTGGTCCCTGTACCACCTCAGCTCCATGCCCTCCGCACTGATGTTGGGTGACAGTTTGCAAGGCAACTCTTTGTCTTGCCCAACCAGGGCCAGAAGTGGGTCAGGAGGTCCAAGGACACAGAAATCTGATTTTCCTTAGAGATGCAAACGGAAGGGCTAGGTTAGGTCCCATGCAGGAGGCAGGGGCTCCCCCTGTACCTACTTTCCCCTTTGAGGGCATGAGGGTTCCCCTAGTCTTGAGCCCTAGTTGGAGACCTCAGCTTGACTCTGGGCACCCCCAGGGTCCGGAAGGGGCGGTTGTCCTACCGTTTCCAGCAGGCAGGAGCTGCAGGAAAATGAAGGTGACCAAGAAGCTTGGCAGAGTAGCATCTCCACGGTGTGGCCTTGACATCCCTACTGGGGACAGATAGGATTAGACACACCCCAGACATGATGAAAGAGAGGCTAGGAGTCTAACAGGAGAGAGGAAAAATAGCTTAGGAGAGAAAGCTGCTCATTCACACACGACCTGAGTTCTGAGTCCTAGAGAAGGTGTTGTTTCCCACAGACTCCATCCTCAGGAGTCTGCAGATGGCCCTGTGTGTGAGTGAGCTGCCCCTGACCGCCCACTCTTGGGTGGGTTTTTATCCAAGCCCCTGCCCTTTGCAGGCACATGGAGAAAAACCAGCTCCAATAGGCAAATCTCAAGTCATCAGGATCCTGTAACACCCACCACTGTCCAATTGCCTTGAAAGAACTTCTCCAGCTGGGGTTAGAGGATACAGCTTCCTCTTTGGCAGGGAGGGGTGCCCCTCAAAACGCAGTCATTTAGGGTAGTTAGTATAATCTGTTTAGAGAATAAGTTTTGGAATAAGTTTAGAGAATAAGCAGAGCAGTCAGCCCTAAGAGGTCCTTCCTGGTACAGCCTTAGACTGCCCGTCACATGTAGTATTTCGTGTCGGCAAGGGTGTTTTGGTTCTTGCCTAGGAGTCTCCCTGCCCATTGAGTATGGGGAGAGGTCCAAACTAAAACACTGAAAAGTGCTATTAAAGGAGAAAACGCTTACCTACCTCTGAGCCTGCTGCCTGCTTTCCAGGACGGCTTCTGATGACTCTGAGGGAATTGGTTTGGTTCCCTGAAAATTCCAGGCAGGGCACAATCCAAATGAGCCTGCCTGTCTCCCAGGGGTGATGGGAGGGGGGTGCTAGAAATCGAAGAATAGACAAACTCACCAGCTTCTGTTGAGTCCCGTTACTGCCGTCGGAAAATAACCAGCTCTTACCTTTAGGGAAGTTGCAACAGAGAAAAAAAAAATCTTCCTAAGGGGCACGACCAGCTGTACTGAGCCTAGAAGATAAGGGCACTGGTAACAGGGGATAAGGGCAGGCATGGAGATGAGGGGAGGTGGCCTGCAGGAGGGTGGCAGCTGGGCCAGGTCAGGGCCATCAGGAGCCCAAGGGGATGACATAGACTGTCAGTGCTGGGATCCCAGCCAGTTGTAGGCTCTGGGGATTCAGATAAAGTTCTCTGGTTATTGAGACCTTCGGAGCAGCCACGCCAGCTCCCCTGCTTTTAGGAACGTTGTGATCTTGGTATTGAAAGTAGCCTGATTCTGGCATTGACTACGGAGACTCCTATCCAGAAATCCAGGCCAAATCCTTCCTCATCTCTTCCCTGTCCCCCATCACGGTAAGGTCCTGGACGCTTATACCTGTCATTTGAGTGAGGTACTGGGCCAGGCTAAATTTGTCCCACTCTTCCTTCTTATTGACTTAAAGGTCTGGTGTTCCTGGAAGCTTTGGGTAAGAAAAGAGCTGCCAGGCAGGGCCACCTGGCTCTGTGCAAAAAGGAGTGCTCACTTGAATTCAGCAGATGGTCAGGGACACTTAGGTGCTCTGGAGCTATTGAGAAAGTCCAGCCCTAAGTCCTTCCCAGGATGCCTCCTTGGGGGCACGCCCTCTGGTAAACAAGTTATTTTATGTATAAACATGAGGGGGCACCACACGAAAACGTGAATTGTGCCAGCTAGGCCACAATGCCAGCTGAAACTTCCTCTCACTTGTCAGGAAGGAGGACTTACACTCTACAAGTCTAGAGCGAGCTCCTGAGCGGCCATGATGGAGTGCTGAGATCCCTCAAACAACTGGAAATAAAACGACCATATGAAGCTTCCTACCACTGAGTATATACGCGAAGGAAATTACACCAGTATGTAAAAATGACAGATGCACTCCACATCCATTGCAGCCCTATTCTTGACAGCCAAGAAAAATTAAATAAACCCACTCCATTGAAGGATGAATGGATAGGCAGTGGGGAACTCTGCAACCACAGAAAAGAGGGAGGTCTGTCTTTTGCAGCAATAGGGGCAGAACTGGAGATTATTATGTTAAGTAAAATGAGCCAGGTACAGAAAGATGAGTACAGCACCATCCCACTCATTCATGGAAGCTAAAATGTTGATCTCTCTTGAGAGGTCGAGAGTAGAATGGTGGTGAGCAGAGTTTAGAGACAGAAGAGGGGAGACAGGGTGAAGAGTGGATGCTGAATTAAGAGTTAAACAGCAGCAAGAAGCTCTGGCCAGCTAATGCACAGAGGGTCTATACTGGTTACAGGTAGCAACAGTAGGATAAGGGCTGGAGAGTTGGCTCAGTGGTTAAGAATACTTGCTGCTCTTCCAGACGATCCAAGGAAGGTTCCTAAGATGCACCGTGGGTTGCTCACAACTGCCTGTAACTCCAGCTCCAGGGCATCCAACACCTCTAGCCTCTGTGGATACTGGCACTCACCCACACATACATATAATTTATAATAAATAAAATTTCCTTTTAAAAAGAGATATGACATAGTTGAGCAAGCATCCTTGTGGTATGACTGAGCATCCCTTGGGTATATGCCCAAGAGTGGTATCATTTGGTCTTGAGGTAGATAGATTCCCAATTTTCTGAGAAGTCACCATACTGATTTCCAAAGTGGCTGAGCATGTTTGTACTCCCACCAACAGTGGAGGAGTGTTCCCCTTGCTCCACATCCTCTTCAACATAAGCTGTCTTCAGTGTTTTTGATCTTAGCCATTCTGACAGGTGTAAGATGTTATCTCAGAGTCGTTTTGATTTGCATTTCCCTGATGGCTAAGGATGTTGGGCAATTCCTTAACCGTCTTTCAGCCATTGAGATTACTCATAATAGCCAGAACCTGGAAACAACCTAGATGCCTCTCAACTAATGAATGGATAAAGAAAATGTGGTGCATATACACAATGGAGTATTACTCAGCTGTAAAAAACAATGACCTCATGAAATTTGCAGGCAAATGGATGGAACTAGAAAATATCATCCTGAGTGAGATAACCCAGACTCAGAAATACAAACATTGTATGTACTCACTCATAAGTGGACACTAGATGTAAAGCAAAGGATAAGCAGATGATAACCCACAGCTCCAGAGAACCTAGGAAACAAGGAGGACCCTAAGAGAGACGCATGGATTGACTTTGCAAGGGGAAACAGATGAGATTGCCATTAGTAAACTGGGGGTGGGAGGCAGGGCATTAGCGGGGAAAGGATGGAGGAAGAGAACATGAGGGGATGGGATGGTTGAGCTGGAAGAGGGGCAAAGTGGGAGAGCAATGAAAGAGATATCTTGATAGAGGGAGACATTATGGGGTAAGGGAGAAACCTGGTGCTAGGGAAATTCCTAGGAATCCACAAGGATGACTCCAGATTAGACTACTAGCAATAGTGGAGAGGGTGCCTGAACTGGCTTACCCTGGTAATTGGTGAATACCCTAATTGTCATCATAGAGCCTTCACCGAGTAACAAATTGAAACAGATGCAGAGATCCACAGTCAAGCACCAGGCCGAGCTCCAGGAGTCCGGTCGAAGAGAGGGAAGAGGGATTATATGAGCAAGGGGGGGGTCAAGATCATGATGGGGAAATCTACAGAGACAACTGAACCAGCTCATAGGAACTCACGAACATTAGACCAACAGCTGTGGAACCTGACTAGGCCTTCTGCATACGGGAGACAGTTGTGTAGCTTGGTCTGTTTGAGGGTCCCTGGCAGTAGGATCAGGATCTATCCCTGGTACATGAGCTGGCTTTCTGGAGCCCATTACCTATGGTGGGACACCTTGCTCAGTCTTGATGCAGTGGGGAGGGGCTTGCTCCTGCCTGGAATAAATGTACCAGGCTTTGCTGACTCCCCATGGGAGGCCTTACCCTTTTGGAGGAGGGGATGGGAGATGGGCTGAGGAGAGGGGAGGCTGAGAGGGGGAGTGGGAGGAGGGATGAGAGATGGATCTGTGGTTAGTATGTAAAAATAAAAATATTATAAATAATTTTTTTTTTCGAGACAGGGTTTCTCTGTGTAGCTTTGCGCCTTTCCTGGCTCTGCCTCCCGAGTGCTGGGATTAAAGGCGTGCGCCAATAAATAAAAAATTTTTAAAAAGAGATGATAGACATTTGAGAAAACAGATGTTTGCCCTGATTTAGATGTTACACATGTGTACATTATCAAAACATCACAAGTACTCCATAACTATGTATAATTTTAATATACCCGTTAAAAATAAATCCATTATTATAATCATTTGTTTAAGTTTTTTTTAAGAGTTTTTCCTGATCCTGCTAACTCCATCTCTCAAATGCCGGGATTTCAGGAGTCCACCATCCACACTCCAGGAGGTCCGCAGCTGCTTCCCCCAGGCCCACAGGATGCAGACTCAGAGCACAACCCCTTTTGCTGTTGGCCCAGGCCTGCGTGCACTATGCCAGCCAGGATGATGCCTGGCCCAGAGGCTCTAGCTGGAACCCTGAGGGCTTTGTGACACCCAGCCCCTGCCTCAACTGTGAAGGTTCAGCCCAAGGCCATAAAAGGCTGCGTCCAGTAGGAATTCAGCTAAATGGTTTGATGAAGGAGGAGGATGAAAGTGGGTGTGGAATTACTGGATCGCTTATGGTTTTGGAATTTCAAGGCACTGAAAATATTTTCAAATTAGATACAGGTGCTAGTTGGAATACAGTGTGAATGCCCTAAGTGCCAAAGTGGTTTGTCTTGTGCTGTGCATTTAGCTTCAACGAAAAAGAAAAGAATAAGAAAAAAATGAGGTAAAAAGAAAGGTGGCACACGCCACCCTCTCTGGATAAAATTAATAAAAATTAAAAAACAGAAAATCGAAGTCTCAATTTTGCCCAGTGGAATTTCTAGCTCTTGGCGCCCTCTGCTGGAGCTTGTGTGTCAGTACATCTGTATGTCCAGTTTTTTGTTTTTTTTTTCTGGAGCCTGAACCAGGAAGAGGGTTTATTTGCACCTAAATTTCCCTTAGCTCTCCATGTTTTCATCAGCGGAAGCTTTGCTCCTAAGGCCCTGAGCAGGGGGTGGGGGCAGTCTGAGCTCTCTTCTCTCCAAGGTCCTCTGAAAGTGGTCCCCAGGCTCCTGGGCCTCACCAAAGAGCTTCACCCCAGCAGACACCGTTTTAACTGCTATGGTTTGCAGCATTTTTGTAGCATCTACAGAGCTTTCCTCTCACGCTGTGCCCCTAGCCCCAGGACTGTAGGGGCCCATGCCGTGGGAACCTCATTGTGCCTCCATACATAGCAAGGACACTGTGGTCATGGGCCCACAGGTCCACAGCAGGAAGTTCTGATGTCACCTGGGGATGCAGGGAAAAGCTCATTTACCCACCTAGTAAAGAATTTAAAAACAGGACAAAAAGTGGGGAGCCAGGAAGGAGCCACCATATGATACCCAGGAAACAAGATCCACTCTTGGGGTTCTTGGTCTCATTGATAAAAGAATGGGCTCACCGGGCAGAGGTGGCGCACGCCTTTAATCCCAGCATTCGGGAGGCAGAGCCAGGCGGATCTCTGTGAGTTCGAGGCTAGTCTGGTCTACAGAGCGAGATCCAGGACAGGTACCAAAACTACACAGAGAAACCCTGTCTCGAAAAACCAAAAACCA